GCTATAGCTTCATATTTAGCGTACATACTTGAGTGGTGTCAATCTTATCATTAAACTTTTGGCAATAAAACAAACAAGTGGATATCCCAAAATTTTGACAAAGACTAATCTGCTAATTGACAGTACTTTTTCTCTAAAACTGATAATTGAAAATGTAGATTACATCAAACAAAATGGATTCTCACAAACTATCAATATATGTAGATCAACCACAGAAAACATAAAAACATTTTGTCCATTGTCTTTTCCACCATACTTGCTAGGACCACACTCAGTAATTACTTCACTGTTGGCGCTCCTTATGTTTTGTTGGTGCAGATGCAATTAAATTTGATTACACTGTCTCAACTGATCACATATACTGCTTCCTTATTATCCGACCGGTGTCATGCCATTCACAGAGTTTTCATGCACGCTCGTGTGTAATTTTTAGCACTTCCTTGTTTTTATTCTCTGCTGGTCAACTTCCTACATGCACAGCTGTGTAATGTGACATTGACAGTGGGAGATGTTGGATTAAATGGAAGTAGATATATGCTCTATTTTACTGTAAATAGCTACATACCCAGATAACAAACAAGATCTAAATTCATAAAGAGCAGATTTAATTCTATACACTGACAGACATTGCATTGCAGGTGTCACGGTTAGACTTGTGCACCTGTTGTCCTTGGGCATATGATCAGGCTTTCCCTATTAATCCCTGAACTTGTTTCATCATGTTTTAGGTTGACTTGAACAGACTTAGCTTTGTTGCTCCCGTTTAGCTAAAGGAAACCTGCTACTCTTGAATATGCCAGCAGTTCTTCCAGAGTCAAGGAATGACAACAATTCGGATGAGTTAGTCACTGTTGCCCACAAGCCTTTCTGCCTGTAATGAACTTTTTATTGACATTCCTACTTTACAGCTCTATAACTGTATGGGGAAAGAGCCAAACTCTACCTAGAGCTTATAAACGTCAGTGCTGTTAATGTATAAGGTGAAGTTTACATAGGCGTTGGTTGCATAATCAGTGGCAGAGTAAGTTCAAACCCTCATTAGCATTCTTTTTTATCTCAGCCCAGCCCTGAGGCCTGCAGGTCCTGACCTAACTTGCATCAATAGATCTATAGTGTTTGCTTTCTAACGCTGGAGAAACAGAGGAGGAGGCTTTACCACACATTCAACGGCTTTTGTTCTGTAGACGGATGCTGCTCTACATAATAGATTCTTGACTTGGACTTGAGATCCAGAGGCTTAAACAAGATCATGTGCACCAGGAGCCAGGCACACTCACTCTGTTGAGCTCCAACACACTACTCACTCATGCTGCGGTTTCCAAAATCTCCCCCCAGTGCCAGTTGTTACTGGAAGTTGTACTTGGAATACCAGATGGTGTCCTAATATGGCTTGACTTGATTGGTGTTCCTGCTTGTTTCAGGGTAACTAATACATTTACAGCTGAAGTAAAGAGAAGCTGCCTGAAAACATCATAACTTAACAAAGTCTTCTTTACCCACTTTGACTCCAGGATGCAGAACTAAGGTCTATCATCCAACTCTGGGCTTTGTGAAAATCTGTCTCGCACACTCTCAGAGAAGCATTACTGTGTTATTGATGTTTTCCTGTCTCCATAGTTACAAATCTATCTCTGGCCTGTCACATGTCCTGACACTCACAGTACACTCGGGGGTTCTTGAGTTTTCCTCTTCTGTTATTCACTTGTTTCATCCCACCTCACTGTTGCCTCCACTGGATCTAGCTGGAGGAAAAGCTCCAGAGAAAATGCTTCACGGCATCAAAGGAATTCAGTGATTTGTCCTGGTCATTAGGACTATTAGCTTCAAGACAGCATTGTATTAGAGCTTAGAGGACATTAGAACTGAAATTTGCAACTGTTTCGAGAATATATTTGTTTAATAAATTCCTGGTTCCATCTTAAAAAAAAGTTTAAAATTTTAAAATTTGTTCTTAAACTACTGCCAATGACCCGTATGACTAGGACTGTTGCTTTCAGTAACTTACAAACTGTATATTCCCATCTCCTAAAGCCAACTCCACCTGGTGGCTGGCTGTAGTATAGGTCATAAGCCCGCCTCCTCCGTGTGAGTAGATGGGACATGGACGAAAATAAAAAGTCCACATCAATTAAATTTTTCTGAAAGATACTTTGTTATTTCAGGTAGTTTTTATCACACTGATGTATGTTCAAGTATTATCTTTTTCAAAAAGTGGTTTTAATTAGTTATTTGATGCTATAAAAACTCTGGAAACTGTCATTATTGATAGCAGAGACTGACTCGTGATTGGTCGAGCATGTTTTGGTGGGACCTCACGACCATCCCCCTTTACTGCCCGGACCTCTGGCTCCACATGCACAATGTTCATACTTGGGATATTTTGGCTACATTTGAGGATAGTGGGAGGAAGGGGAGATTTGTCATCCATCTTTATACACTTTATACAGTCAGTGGTCGTGTTTGATTGATTCTTTTCATTTTTCAATGGTTGGTGCTCAAAAAAACATGTAATTGATGTTTGTAAATCAAGTTAAAAGCATGTGAATCTTTAGAAAACATGTCAAATGTCATATTAAACTTCAAGTCAGATTCAAGCAGGTGAACACTGATGAATGCATGACTGAAAACAACAAGCCTGTACCGAATATATACATGCATGAAATACTGTACGCAATGTTAAGATTTAGATGATAGATGCATGTTTTGTCTGGTGAAGCAACAAGGGTGTAGCCTATAGACTCCATTCATTGTCGGCGTTTTATAAAGTGAGAGATTCCTCTGGGCACAGGCATGTTGAAAACTCCTGTTAGGGAGGAGAACTATGGGAGGGTCTGTTAGTGACGCCTCATCTTAATTAAACACACATTGAGTCCTGGGTGAAGTTGAGGTTGATGCCGGGTCTGTTTTTTTTCCTTCATTTTGTTATGTAACTACTTGTGGGGGGTTCATACCATGTGGTATCTGAGGGACAGACACAGAAACTAATGACGGCTGAAATCTACATTCTTGTTTGTAGTCTCTCGAAGATATGGGTGTGCGGCTGTCTAGCCTGAGTCACACCACCATCATCTTCAACACATGCCTGCCTTGTGTGCTGAATGATGTACTTGCATGTAGCTCATGTTAGACGCTGTCATATCTGACGGAGATCAAAGTATGTAATGTGGGATGTGGATTTCAGTGACAGCGTTTGTTAGCAGTGGAGGTATGAGGAACATTCCTTCCCCTGGTACTGCCTGATGTAAATCAACTGAGTGCTTCCGCTAGCCTCACACACACAAATTGAATGGTGTGGAGGAACAGAACATTTTGTCCTCAGGGCTTCTTTACTTAACCTGTTCTCCACCACAGACACCTTCCTACCACATGGTGGCAGTGGACTACAAAACAATAAGGTGATGGATTTCCATCCTAATGACTGAGGTGATTCTTTGAATGTTCATGTTGTACCACCATTAGGTTCTGTGGGAATTATCTTGTAATCTATCAGATAAAATCGCATTACAATATGGTATGGTATGATATTCAAGGTGTCTAGTGGATGAATCCTAGTGACTTTGGTTACAGCATTACAGTTTCCCCAGAGCAATACTTCAAGATATTTTGGTGGTCCCCTGACTTTGACTCTAGCACTACCCGCTGGTCAAAAATGTAATTTGTCCAATACATTGGTTTTGGAACAAATTCCTACAAACAATTGGCGTTCCCATCAGCCTCAGCTATAATATATGCACTAATTAAGAAGTTTGAAAGCTACGGTGCCAAACTAATATGGCAACTTAACAGTAGCACCATGAAGTACTGGCTAAATAGACTTTGAATTGACAGCTGGTCTTACTATCGGTGCTTCATCATTACGAAACTATCCATCTGTCTATCTATCTATCTATCTATCTATCTATCTATCTATCTATCTATCTCTACACACACATATGGGGCTAATTGGATTTGATCAATCACCACAGTAATTAAGAACATAAATTGACTGATCTATATTTGAGGATGTATTACTGTCCTACACTTTGTAATGACATTGTACAAACACATTTATCAATCTTTTTTCCCATTTATTTAATAAAATGTTATTTGAACGTTTGCCATGGAGCAACTTCAGTGTGCTCATTTCTGAATGGATACTAGAAGTGTTGGCTCCACCGGGCTTCCACACCGCCTCCCCTGCAGCTGTAGGGTGCAGTTGCTTCATCACCCGTCAGCAGGAGGAGCCAGGGATCTTGTCAGACCGTCTCCCCGCCCCCGCGTCACCCCCTCCCCTCGTAGCTTCATGTTGCACGTTTCTAAAAGCGCTCCGTTAAAACGCCCCCCCCAGCGCCCCGCCGGCTCTTTCTCTCCGCCGACACCGATGTCTCCTCAGCCCCGGGCCGCGCCATGCCGTGCACTTTCTCCTTCAAACCACCGTGCTGCCCCGGGGACCCGGCGGGGCACGCGACCACGCTGCTCGCCCACTACCGCACCCGCCGCAGGTAATAGCGCGCGGCCGCCGCTCCGCATGCACGCGTCCTGCAAGTTTAGTGATGAATCAGAGGGAAGAAGCTGAGTCATGTTAAGGAGCTGGGTCATGTTAAGGAGCTGGGTCATGAGAAGAGGCCCTGATGGCTGCAGACAGTAGAGGAGTGTGTGCACTCTGTTTCTTTCTGTATCACCACACTGATTATTCCCTCTCACTCTACTGGGACCTGAAGTGTTTCCTGCAGCTCAGCCTGTTTCTCCTGTGAACTCCAGTGACCTGACCTAGATCTGAGTTATGATATACATGTATAGACCCAGCGTGCTGACAGCTCTCCTACGATCTGCCCTGGATTCCTGGGGTTTGATTGACTGAGCTCTGATTTCTCATTCACTGTTTCCATCATGTAGATCGTCGTTCATTTTCAGCTTTTCCAGAATTTTCTGCTTCTGCCATCTGTTTTGAGCAGAAACTTCTTCCCTTGATAATTATGTTGTTAATTCTGACTAGTTTTATCTGTCTTTTTTTCCCACAGTGCCTCTGGAACCAATGTTGCCATTGATAATAAAATAGAACAGGCTATGGTGAGTAATCCATTCACCTTTCATCTTACATTTCTTTAAATACAATTCTGCCTTTCTTTTAAATTGACAATGTTTGAAGTAGGTATTCAGTTACATGGAGGGAATGTCACATAACTGATTATTAACACATATTCTATATTATTTTATGCATTTTATATATATATATTCATATAGGTGAGTTTGGACTTTCCTTCCTTTTAATCTAAGAACAAAGAGCATGTAGCTGTCAGAGCCCGAGGGTCTTAAACTGCCATTTGTCCTTCACCTTTACACATTAACCCAGTGAATATATGAGCAGCTCTAGCCTTGAACTTCCCTCTTACATGTTACAGCATGATAAATCAGCCTCTGTGTGACCGGTCGTCTTCTGGTTACGTGCCGTTGACTCATTTCGTGCCATTGTTCTCGTCTCTGTTCAGGACCTGGTGAAAAGCCATCTGATGTATGCAGTGCGTGAAGAGGTGGAGGTCTTGAAGGAACAGATCAAGGAGCTGTTTGAGAGGAACTCTGTGCTGGAGCGGGAGAATGCCGTGTTGAAATCCCTGGCCAACAGCGAGCAGCTGTCTCAGCTGTCCACCCAGCCGGCCGCCAGCTCGGGCGCCACGCCTCCTCAGCAAGGACTCAGCCATCCTCAGCAACAGGCCCCACCTCCGCTTCAAGCTCAAGTTCCAGTTCCACCACAGTCACACCCCCAGGTCCAGCAGCACCCCAAACCCCAGCAGCTCCAGACTCAGCCCCAGCTCGACCCAGGCCAACAACAACAACAACTGCAACCCAACGTCACCTCTGCTTGAAGTACATCTGCCCCATGCGACGCAAAAGGAGCATCTTCTCTACAGCTTATTACAGTTAGTGTATGTGAAAATAAAAAGAAGAAAAAAAACTTTGTCTTCTTAGCCACCAGCTTGACCACAAAGTACAGTGCTTGTGTGTATGTGTGTGTGTGTGTGCGTGAGGGTGAGTTAGCAGGAAAGTGTGAATTTGGCGTTGGAATGTGTATGCATCTGTACTGTGGGCCTTTCCAGTGTTAATGCAATCATCAAGAGAGACAGAGACGAAGAGACTTGGACAGAGGAAGTGTGTGTGTCGAGAGTGTGCAGGAAGGTTGGGGTGGTTTCATCATCTCGGGTCGACCGCTGGTTCCAGGCTCACACAGACAACGTCCTGTCTTGGACCGGGCCTCGGAAACGACCTGCGACTGGACCTGAAATCTGCTCTATCTGCGGGTGTGGAAAGGGAGGAGTACACCTCGAATGAGGGACAAATGAGAGTGATTGTCAAAAAAAAAAGAGTGATTATTTTTTTAAATGAGACAATTGGGTGGGTAAAGAATTATTTTTAGCCTTGCTGTTTCATGTAAAGTAAGAAGTGGGAGAGAGTCTGCTTTCTTTTTGAGCGCCACACCGCTGCCGTTACTTTCACATCAAGTCCAACTCTTGCATCGCTCATCAGAGTCCTACTGTTAAGTGTTTTATTTATTACGGGGCTGCTATTTTCATTCATGAACAATTTCACGAAACCAGTAGCCCTTTGACTTTGTTCCTCTTTTCTTTTACAGTGTTCAGCAGTTCGGCCATATGTCCCGGGGGCGATGCTTTATATTAGGCAAGAATGTTGGCAAAAACCGATTCTGACAAATGTTTAACACTAACTCAGATTTTTACGCTGCGATCGCCTGTTCAGAGCTCAAGTCCAGATCCAGAGGGTACATTTTTGTTTAGTATAAAGCGTCGTGACTCCAGTCGACATCAAATCTATAAGTGAGCCTGCACACAACATTTGAAGATTTGATTCTGTCTGTAGTTTATATAAAAGTGAATTAGTATTGCCACATCCCCCCCCTCCTTAATTTTTTTTTTCCTCCATTGTTTTTCCTGAAGGGGGCCTGGGGGGAAAAGCTGTGAAATCATTCATCCTACTTTGTAACCAAAGATGCAAAGCTGTGTAAATGGATTATTTTTAAATGCACACATGTATTTTTTTTGTTTTTGTTTTGTTACTTCCTCTTTCACAGAATCTTTTTTGTTGCTGTTCGGCATGTTCTGCATGATCTGTAATCTTCAAACCACTTTCTTACCTCATTTTTATTCAGCACTCTTATTGTAAGATACTCTGTGAACAGTGTAAATGGGGGGTAAAAAAAACGATGTGGCACAGAAAGAAAAAAAACAAACAACCTAGTGTTATTGACACTAGTCACAGAAAAATGAAGTGAGCCATGTTTTGTTCATTTAAATGGTGTTTGAATTTCATATGCCAATAGTTTTGTTACATTGCAAATTTTAATGTATTTAAATAAAAGCAATATTCAGATTCCATAATTATGCCTGTTTAAATTAAAACCTGTTAATTCTTAGGACATTTAAAACAATGTACTGTTGTTGAATGTGGCTCAACTTCCTCTTGACAACCTGTTGTATTTCAATGCATCCTCATTCTACTCTGCTTAAACACAAAACCCATATGAGGAGACAGAGCCAAATGCAAAGAGTGTGTCTGAGTTTTGTGTAAAGGTGAAATGCTTCATATGTACATGTGAACGCCCGACGTCTGTAAATCAACATGTTGGTGGTGAGCTAATACTTCACAGGCAGCTGCTTGTTTGATGACAAGAGAAGATGGAGATCTGGGACATGTTCGTCATCAGTGTGCTGTAGACTGATGTCAGGCAAATATCACATTTTAAAGAGAGTCATTTATTTGAAGAAACATTACAAAACTATTCTCAAAAAAAAAAGAAAACGGGAACATACGTGCCACCCACGCAAATACATAACAGTCCTCTGAGAAAATTACTCTTCACAATCGTGACAGTCCAGAGTCCAAAGGGGGGGAATCTCTCCTTCCAAGTGTAGGACGTCCACAATACAAACGGCTGCATACAATGATATGAATAATGAACGGGACCTTGTTTTAAACGAACTCTTCCATTGAGAAGTTGTGCACGTTGGTCCATGATCGATTGCCCACCCTCGCCACTTGCAAAGTCAAGAAACCGTTTGGCGGAGCCATCAGCCAGGTGGGGTTCACTGTGTGGGCCTGAACAGGACAAAGGAGCTTCCAAGTGTTACTGAAGTCACTGTGTTCTTGCTGACTAACCCACCGTGACAAATCGGCTGCCTTTGCCGCTTTGTGCCATCGTGGTGCGCCGATCTTTCATGATGCGGAATCGCTCATTCAAAGTCATCGACGTTTGCTTTGGGAAGAAGAAGGGTGAGAAAATGTTTTCCACACTTTATTGAGCAAAGTTTTCAAGACAATGTTTAATTATGCTGTTAAAATCGTCAAGGGTGCAGTTTACATAAAATATCTCAAATGAAATCATCTGGATTTTAGTCATTAAAATGTCTTAAATACTTTAAATATCACATGTTCTTAAGTATGATTAGGCAGATCTTAATAATATTAACGTCCATTGAATGCTACTTTCATTGTGCTTTAACATTTTTTTTTTAGTAGAAATATTTAGGCAGCCTGTATAGTTTGTAATATCTACCCATGTTGTAGTTCTTTCTTAATGATACAGATATTTGCACACTTTAATTAAACTACAAACAAGACCAACACTGAGCTCATAACTGATATTCTACAAATCTATGGAACTAAACTATACCTACTGTCTGCCTGTAGTTTGAGAGATTTATGGGGAAATGTAAGTAATTCTGGGGCTTTAATATTCTTTCATATCTGTCATACTTGTCATAGGTGTTCAATGTCATTCACTGTGTTCTTAAAGTTTTAAATGTACTTGTTGAAACCTGCAGTAAGCCTACGACTGTGTATTCAACAATGTAGAATCAATATCGTAGGATGCTCTCACCGGTTTGCCGACACTGTTGATGTCAAATTCTAGTGGAACACCTTTTGGTATTTTCTTCTCCAGTGTTTCTACCTTGACCGGAACAGGGCTGACAGTTGGGGGGTGCAGGGTCCAAGCAGTGGGAGGCCTGTGAAGAAGTGGCAGAAACAGTCTTTTTTTAATCTGGGGGTGTCTAAGATCAAGAAAAGTGATGACACATCAGTTGATGCTCCCATAAACTTCTTTATTTTACCTCACAGGTAATTTAAGTTTCTGGAACCGCCAAATTGTGTGCAAACATTTGTCAGATTCTGACATGTAAATCATATAATGAATAGAAAACTGGATTTATGGAAATGATGTCTTAAACTATGTGAAAACCCAGTGGGTTTGTGTTGAGTGACACTAACTCAGGCTGAGTCCTGGCTGTGGGGTTGTCAATTGAAACAGTCAAGATCCCGTTGCTGGCTGTCGATGTACGCCACCTGGTGGACAAATGATGCTGTATCATTATCACAAGCACAACAGACTGACCCTAAGATGGCAAACAATGGTCCCCCAACCCCACCTCTCCACATCCGCAGTGTGATTTCCTCTCCCCCTGCACACACAACAGAGTCGCTGCTACAACCAAAACATGCTGAAGCCAACAAGTACTCACTGGCGAGTTCTGACTGGAGGAGAGCCAGGACTTGGCTTTTGCACCTGAGCTTGTACCTGCCGAGGGACATGAAGAATATACACAGTGGTAAGTAAGTCTGTAAGTACACAGATAAACATTATAAATACATATACAAACAGAACATTTTCTAAAAATATATTTATCAATGGTCCGTAAATCCATAAATAAATATCACGTGCCTTGAGTCCCCTGCGAACAAGAAATGTGGCCTGGCGTGCTTCCCTCCGAGTCTGCTGGACAGGTGGCAGGGGTCTGCATGAGAGGAACAAAAAGGAGTTGAAATACAGCAGAGAAAACTGTACAGTTGAACACATAATTCACTACTCTGAAGAAGTTCAAAATCCAACTGCTTTCCACATTCCACCGCTTAACAATATATTTTGGGCCATAATTTGGGTTCTTACAGCACCCCCCCAAGTCTCCATGCATTAATAAAGAATCATACATTAGTACACATGTGCACCATTTGAGTGTATGAGTTGTTACAAAAGGGCTCTCACCTTCGTCGCAGCTGAAATGGTCTCCTGACTGATGTTGTATTCTGGCCTCTCTGTGGATCAGGCTGCCTGTACGGCCGCCTCTGAACCTCCGGCTTCCTGTACGGAGTTTCAGTGCGTTGAATGAAGGGCCTTGTTTTCTGTCTTGTTTTCTGAAAGAGGACATGCAGCGGATGGTCTTCAATACATTGTTATTAGAACAATTCGTGAGTGATTGGGGAAAAAAACTGCTACATTTCTAAGATGGTCTGGAGCAAGAGATAATGTCTTGTTGCCAGGTAACAGGATGTGGCCGCTGCCTCGGGGCGTGCGATGGTCAGGCAGAGCCAGGTCATTACAGCAGGAAAAGTACAGTTTGTTTTGTCTCGCTTTTAGTCTCTGCAGGCCAAGAGGGGTTTTGTTGCCAAGGTAACAAAAAAAGTTTTTTGAAAACTATTTGTGCTCTGTCTTCTTTGAATCTTTCTTTGTCAGTGCAGGTACTTGAAGTTGCAGTCTTTGTTTAAGCTTCAGTATCAGTCTCACATAGATTAAGTCTCACTGGAGACTGGATTTTTTAATAATTCTTCTTTAGTTTAGCTTCTTCTCATTTTCTTCTTTTGGGTTTTTTGTGCCTTGTGCTTTCTAAACAAAGTTACATTTTTAACAGGAGGAGATGGACTGTTTATTCAACTTAACTAGCGGGGCTAAGGGTTAAGAAATCTATAAATTATTTTTCTATTAAACATTTTATTCAAGAGACAGTGACTCATTGGCCAGTAGCACAATGTGAGAAAAAACACTTGCTTTAGAAAGTTGTAACATTGTACAAAATAACTACAGTTTCCTGCAGGGCTGCACGATTTATTGTATTAAAACCGTGTTCTCATTTCTCTAATTGACAACCATTCTGTTGCATTTTAATGAGGGACATCAGCTGTATCAAAACAAGCACTCAAACTTTCTCCAAAGTAATCTGAAGTGCCCCATACACCTGCATTATCTGTGCTTTCTGCCTCAATCATTGACAACACAGCGTCACCCCACATGATGCAGAGGAGCAGAAAACCAGCAGTGAAATAGAGCATGTGTGAGAGACGGGAGAGGAGGTTTGTGTTAAGGAGAAACAAATATAAACAACAAATGAATCAATCTAGCAGAAAACTGTGCTGATGATAAGAGAACAGTGATCTCAATTCTAAGCAAGAAGATCATATATACACACACACGGCATGGAGATGTCCTGCAGTGTGTCCTCCATTACCTGGTTGATCGCTGCTCTGTTCAGGGTGCCCACTCGTTTGAGCAGGGCAGTGGGCCTCCTGGCGGCCAGTCCTGTGATGACCCCCTGACCCCGCCGTAGCCCCTGCAGGGGAGGGATCCTCCGGTTTCTTAATTTAGCTGCTGCTCCTCGGGGTGCGCCACCTCCTGGTAGAGATAATATTAGCTGCATTTCACGCGTACCGGGCAGGTTAGAAGGGAAGTAAAGGTTACACGCGCACACATGCACGCGCACACACACACCCACCTCTCTGAACGGGTCCCACGGCTGCAGCAGCCCGCGGTGACACCTGTGGTAAACGGCCTTTCTTCTTCACTGGTCTCCGGGTGCCTGTGGCCTGTCTCCTCCTCAGCTGCTGCTGCTCCTTCTTGTTCAGGCGAATGATGTCATCTGTTAAAAATAATCACAGGGGCTGAGTAAACAATGGCGTCTGACTGAGACCCACTTAGCCTGCTAGCTTCAGACGCCCTCCCATCACTGAGCGCCGTGAGCTAGCATTAGCCCGTGCTGTATTTTGGTACCGTGACGGCTGCCCGCTGAGGATCTTACCCAGCGACATGTCGACTTTATCGGGCACCGCTGGTTTCCTCTCCCGGCCCGCCGCGAAGCCGCTGTTGTTCATATTTAACACCCCTGTTAAACACCCCGGGAGTGAGGAGACCGACTGTCACAGCTGCAGAGTCCAGCTAACGCTCCGTCTCCTCACGTCACACCGGGAAACCTCTTCCTCCGGACCTGCTGAACGGCGCGGCGCATGCGCCGCAGACGCAAAGCATTGTGGGCAACGCAGTTCTACTCATCGACAACGCCGTGTTACAAAAGCCCAAACACTGGCGGGCGCGTGTCGGTATTGTCTGCAGACGTGTGTTGCAGTCAGCGTCTCGCTGTGTGGTGGTTCACACTGAGAGTGAAGTTAGTTTTCCGGCTACACGCTGATAGAAGAACATCTGGATTCATCCGCTGCATGTTCTACAGCTGGAGGTGAGTTCTAGCAAGAGGAGTTTGTGCAGCGTCGTCGTGCTCCCGGTTTGTTTTTGTTTAATTTGTGGACGCTTCTTCGTGTATCTAATCCTCATAGTTACCCCTCATGTTTGTTTTGCTATGAGTTGTGATTTTCACCACTTTCTCGGTGGTCCCTCGCAGATCTTCCTCTGCACCAAGGCGACTCCTGACGCTCAGAAACCAGAGATCACCAACTCCTCTTCTCTTCACCTGTTCGTTCACCAGTGTTTGCACCATGTCAGATAAGAAACGGAAGGCCGCTCCTGCCAGTAAAGGGCCCGCATCCAAGCAGCAGAAGGTGGTCCCCATGAAGCAGGAGGAGAAGCAGCAGCAGCAGAAGCCTGAGGGCTGGCTGCAGGACCTGCTCATGAAGCAGAGGTCAAGGGTGAAGGGGGCTAATTTCAACAAGAAGCGTCTTCGATTTATATCTGACACTGAGAATATGAAGCAGGACTCAGAGGGAGTCCTGTACTGGATGTCTAGAGACCAAAGAATACAAGGTAAACACCTCCACAACCAGCACTGAGCCATTTTCCTTTCCTTCTCTTCATGTGTCTAATGTGTGTGTCCTCTTGTGTTTCAGATAACTGGGCTCTGATCCACGCACAGAAACTTGCTGTGAAGAAAAACCTTCCTCTGCATGTTTGCTTCTGCTTGTTCGTCCCAAAGTCAGAACTGTCTACTCTGAGGCATTACAGCTTCCTGCTGAACGGACTGAAAGAAGTCGCAGAGGTGACTGAAAGATTTCGTTTGGATGCACAGATTACATGCAGTAATTCTATTAGTGCACTAGTCAGTTAATTAATATGTTTTGATTGATAGGAAAGTCAAAGTGCATCATTTTTATTCAAATAAGTAAAACAATCAAACGCTTTTAGACTCTTCATATGTATTTTTCTTATTTTTTTCTTCTAGCTATTAAGTCAACATTTAGGGTTTTAAGGAATCTACTACTGGAATTACGATCTGGTAAATGGAGATTGGCATTTTAAATTTCAAAAATTTCATTTGAACATTAATAGAAAATAAACAATTCAATCCACTTTTTAGAATTTGCTTATAGTTGAAGTAAGTTATGAAGCAAAATTCTCTCACGTTTTACACTGTTGACCACACTCAACAAGCAACTTGAAGATGTAGCCCTGGCTTAATAGAATAAATGATTAATTGATCACTTAAAGTGTTAGATTGAATAATGTTGGCTTGAATTAAAGTCAATGACAAAACTTTGTGACATGTACAAACTCAAATCTCATGCAGGTTTATTTTCCACACTATAATTTTTTGATTATGTGTGAACATCGCTTTTACAAGTACAAAATAAAAACAGTTTCATCTTGAGTTAAATAAACAAGAACAACTTTAAATCTCGATAAACAGCTTAGTCACAGTGGTCACCTCCTAAACACTGAGGGGAAGAGTGTGAACATGCATAAATGTTGCTTTCTTCACTGGTATGTGATCCACATTGTTAAACTAAACTTCGTCCACTAGCCCTAACTCTGTTGTTCTACTCTTACCATCCAGGAATGTAAAGCCTTAGACATCCAGTTCCACCTACTCCACGGTGCAGCAGGGGACGTTCTCCCCGGGTTTGTGTCTGACCGCAGCCTGGGGGCGGTGGTGACAGACTTCTCCCCTCTCAGAGAACCTCAAGAGTGGTTAGAGGACATCAAAAAGAAGCTTCCAAAGGACATCCTCTTCAAACAGGTAAAAAAAAAAAAAAAACTCAAAGATGTGATTTACAGACAGAGTTTGCTGATCGGCTGCTCTGCATTCTGTGTTTCCCGATTGTTTCCTTATAGTCAGGAATTTAACACCTCATTGTCCTTTTTATAGGTTGACGCCCATAACGTTGTTCCCTGCTGGGAAGCATCACCTAAACAGGAATACTCCGCCAGGACGATCAGAGGAAAAATCACCAAACTTCTGCCTGATTTCCTCACTGATTTCCCTCCGGTAGAGAAACATCCCGTCACTGCTACAAGAACTGCTAAAGTAAGTGCTGCAGTAACGCCGAAGTGGATCACAGTTAAGGTGTTATTGAAAGGTAGAGAAGACGCAAAATCATAGTTTGTCTCGTCCTGAAAATATTCTTTGCTTTTGAAGTGTTAACTAAGATCAATAAAACGTGAAGAGAGTCTACTGAAGGAGTCAGACTTCTGAAATAAAACACTTCTTTCCACTTTGAGCTCTACTCTACTCTGCACAGTGTTTATTGATGAGTGAACGTAACCAGTTGTTTCTTTTACGACTCTGAGAAGTTTTACACTCTGTCTCAGTACCAGATATAAAAGATACAGTGTGCATGCTTTCACTGCTGTGCTGTGATGGATGAGCCAATCACTTGCTTTAGTCTTCTCATAATTTGATGGGAAAGATTCCGAACTTTCTCTGCTTTACAAGTTTGCATTTCACTGTAACAACTCAGTGGATATTTAAGCTCACCACTGACCGCCATGCCTTCAGCTGACTGTTTCTGTTTCCTCCCCTCTTCACCTCGCAGCCAATAAAGTGGGAGAAAACTCTGGCCTCGCTGTCGGTTGACAGAGAGGTCGGGGAGCCGGAGTGGGCCAAGCCTGGCACCAAGGCGGGGTTGGCCATGTTGGAGTCCTTCATTGATGTACGCCTCAAAGTGTATGACAACCAACGCAACGACCCAAATGTCAACGCCCTCAGCCAGCTCTCCCCCTGGCTCCGCTTCGGTCAGTAATCTAGTCTTCCAATTCAGAAATGTCTTGCTTGTTGCTTATTGATCTTGAGAACTGTTCATCTTATCGTCTTCACACACGGCATGTGCATTGTTAAGGGCCCACGAAAGTGCAGTGTTGAATTTGGTGCGATCTGCACACGTGATATGTTCAATATTAATAAACAGGCAACCAACTGCAGTTGAGACTCATTAATGACGTTGGTGGTCACGACAACATCATGTTCTCGACAATTAATTCTCCTGCTAGGGGCTCTGTGTAACAGATAAGATAAGATAAGATTTTAATGACCCACACACTGGGTAGACTCAGTTGTTCTAGCAGCAGGCAGGTTAGACAAGAGAATCAAAATATTTAAAAAAGGCAATGGACTAAGTTGAGCTCAAATAAACAGGTGAACTGCTCTGTGTGCAGCGGCACGGTTCTGTGGCAGCTCAGTTATTGCAGTTGACTTTTACAATGTCAGAGACAAAGCTGCAGCCAGCATCACAGAAGACTAAGCCAACAGCCCATTCCACACAGGCTGGTTCAGAGCGGGCACTGCACTAGTACAATGAAAAGAAAAAGAGTGGGCACAAGTGTAATAAATGTTATGGGGAAAATGTACGATTGGGTTTTTGCAAAACCATGTGCGACCGTTTTTTTTAACCTACTACAATATCACTTACCTCCTTTATGTTTGCAACCTAATCAACCACTAGAAACAGATGAAACATTATACTATCCACACTGGATGATGACCTTCAAACAACTCTAGGTTCCATTAACCACTGTGCCATTCACTTCATTACTCAAGATATTGATTATACTGATCGCTGGTTTGTAAGGAAATATTAGACATTCACTACTTTTATCCAAGAGGCATCGGTGAATCTGAGTCCTTCTTTACGGGAGCTTGTTGTCAAAGTAGCTGAGATATTGCAGATCCTCAGCCGAGTTCAGAGTGAACAGTAGTGACACATAGATCACATAATGTTTGTTTTAAATATTCCTCAGCACTAAACCGGGGAAGAAAGTCTCTTCTGTTTGCATTCTCATTTAATCTCATCTTTAAATTCCTCTTTTCTTTTCCATCTTCAGGCCACATCTCGGCTCAGCGCGTGGCGTTGCAGGTTGAGAGCAGTGGGAAAAAGGCAGGTCAGAACATCTCCTCCTTCATCGAGGAGCTGGTGGTGCGTAGGGAGCTGACGGACAACTTCTGCTTCTACAACAAGAAATATGACAGGGTGGAGGGTCAGTGGAAAATGAATCAGTTCACTGTGCTGTAACAAGTGTCCCATAAGTGGCATCAACCAAATGAGTCATCAGCTCACAATCTGAATTACTTTTCCAAATTACAGGCTTGTACTGAGCTTTTGAAATGATTCAGCTTTGTCTTTCTGTTTTCATTGTTTCTGGAAATGATGTATTGTGTGCTTGTGTTTCGCAGGTGCATATGAATGGGCTCAGAAGACCTTGAAGGACCACGCAAAAGACGAGAGGCCGTATTTCTACACACGGGAGCAGCTGGAGAAAGCACAGACACACGACAAACTCTGGAATGGAGCTCAGGTGAAACACTGAGACTGACCAGGACTCAGTGTTTGTCTGTCTTGTGCTTTGTTTCTAACTGCTTGCTTTTACACGTCTCTTTTAGTACCAGATGGTCACTGAAGGGAAGATGCATGGATTCTTGAGGATGTACTGGGCCAAAAAGATTCTGGAGTGGACATCGTCACCAGAGGAGGCGCTCTCTATCGCCCTTTATCTAAATGATCGCTATGAGCTGGATGGCCAGGACCCTAATGGTTTTGTTGGTAAGCTCCTAAATGAAATATAGCAAGTCAGACACGGATAGACTGCACTGTTGTCCTCACATCTAGATGTTTCTCCTAAAGGGTGTATGTGGTCTATCTGTGGCATCCACGACCAGGGCTGGGCAGAGAGACCTGTTTTCGGAAAGATCCGCTACATGAACTACAAAGGCTGCCTCAGGAAGTTTGACGTCCTCAAGTTTGAGAAAAAGTACTGTCCTAAAAACCTGTGAACTTAACTCTATTGGAGAAAGGGAAGAAAACACAGGAGTTGGTCAACGTCTACACCAGCATCTCTAGTGGCAGATTTTATCTTGTCGTTCACTGCTACAAGTCTAAAATATTAAGTTTATTATCATAATGTTCTATCATTACTGTAACTGTTCTCTGGTGTTTGACTGCACCTCAGGTGATTTGTGGTGCAGAAAGATGTTTTTACCTTGTCATTATGTTACATATTTACAACAGCTTCTACTTTTGATTTTTAAAGAAGTTGCCTTGTTTGGGAACACTGTGTTCCTTTTTTTTTTAAGAACTTTCAACAAATATAAAGTCATAAACCGTTTTCTCTTCAGCAAAGTCACAGTGTCTTGATTCATTCACAGCCCTCCCATTCTAACTTGTCACCAAAGAAAGCAACAAATCCACTTTATGTTGCCTTTTAAAAGACTAGTTTGATAATTTTTCTATGAAAAGCAGACATCCTCCAACAGTAACTTGAAATTAATTGCATTTAGATTTAAATAAAGCCAGACTTTGAAATATCATCTGCAAACGATCTGTGACCTTTAAAATCACTTTCATCTTGAATGGCACACAATAGAGAACATACTTTCACCAAGACCCAGCAGTCCCCATTAAATCCACTTCTATTATGGTTCAGTGATGATGCATGTCGAATGAACTCCATGCAAAACTTAAAGAAACAGATTCTAAAACATGCAGCTGAGTCCTCTTTGAAATGAGCTCAGTTGTGTAGTTTTGCCAGTTACATGTTAACTGCAGAGCGGAGCCCGCACAGAAACAGACTGCAATATCTGAATATCTGTTCAGGACAATTCACCCACCACTTGTTAAAACATATCAGTCTTGACAATAGTGCCAACGCTGCCACCTCCACAGTCTGCTATTGAGGCAAAAAATGAAAAGATAAGCTGCTGGACGATGAGATCTTTAACTCTCACCTGTTCTCTGTGGGAGTTTCTCTGTCTCGACATTGCAGATGTTGAGTTATTCCAGCACAAGAGCGTGGGACGTGTGAAACAAATGCAATCGCAGCAAACTGTTAGTCTCCGGGGATTCACCTGGGTGGAGAATTAATCACTCACCCACTGTAAGACCTGTTGAACAAGGCGAAAATGAAAAGAGTGAAGCAGTGGTGAGGGTTTAATCATCATGCTGTTCCTTTTAGCTTTAATATTTATAGTCTCCAAATGACTTTTTGCTTGCACTGACACCCACGCTACTGTTGTAAATACTGTATGTGTGCTGCATGCAAGCTTATCCCAGCAGCAGTTTTTCAGGAGGAGGAAAATGGAAAACCTTCATATTGTGAAAATGATTTCTTTATATCCTGGTGGGCATGTGCCCTGGATTCTGTGATGGAGCGTTAATATTTTAGCCGTGCTTATTTTCCACCCTTTCAGGCTTTACACAAGCTCATTGTGTTCAAGGTCTCAGAAGGAGTGTGAGGAGAATGCAGTGAGTGAGAGGGCACTGTGCTTCACCTTCTGTTGAGTTTTCTAATTAACCTAACCTGTATGTGTTTGCACTGCGGGATGACACACACACACACACACACACACACACACACACACACACACACAAAAGCTAAGAAGCTGTGAATAACACTTCACTATGCATATGAATACATTCATTTTCCTAAAAATAGCTGTACAAGATGTAGAAATATGATATGGCTCTTAGTATTTTTATTGAAATTAGAGTTTTACTATTCTCTGCTCCACAAAAGTAGGCTGCCATTTAGGAATGTCGTCATCATATCTAGAATATTTTGGCTTTATTTCTGGATAGTGGGAGGAAGTGAAGACATGTTGTCCATCTTTATATACAGCCTATATGCTTTTACCACACAGCCAGTGTGAACAGATTGCCTTGACATAGATAATACAAAAAGAGTTGGGAGTAAAGATACATTTTTCTCTGTTAGGGATGATATCAAAAGTTGAATCTAGCAAGAAATGTGACATCTGTAAAAGAAGCAGCTCATTATTTAAGAATGTGAGGGTTAAACGCTGGAGACATGGGGTATGTAGAAATGTCAGATATTCATATGTTTTAATACGTTTGTCAGATTAAGGGGAAATTGAGCCTAAATTTAGCTGGAAAGACTTTAAATGAACCAATCCTCTGCTTGTTTAAAGTCATAACACACTGTCAGTGACAGCAGATATTTGCAATCAAAGGGTCTTTAATGATCTATAATGTTTTAAGAATCATTTGCAAATCTTAAATCTTGTATTAAAAATGTTTTGACCATCTAAACAGATTAATTAAAAACTGAACATTATAATCTTCACTAAGAGAGGATTTACTGCAAGGCTCTTTTATTATGTTGCATTGAGTTTCCAACATTTCACAAAAGTCTACAACATTAATTTGAGCCAGAAAAGAACAGAGAAAGGAAAATATTTGTAACCTGTTATGCCCTGTGTTGGGGTAGGAATTTCAAGGAGTTTCTGTCCAGTTCCGTTTCTGGCTGCATCTTGATTTTAGTTTTAAGTGACTGAGCATAGCTGTTGTGTTGCTGTGAAAAGCCGTCTCCAATTTACAGAGCTTGTGTTTGAATAAAACACACACTTCAGATGAGCTGGTTTTTCCGGGAGAATACAAAATTTGACCCCAGTGATGCATCCATCTTTGCCAACTGATGTACGACGACTTCCACAGCTTAAACTGACAGTCATTTTATGTATGTATGTATTTGTCAAGGAAACTCACAGTCGACTTCAGCAGTGCAAAGTTTGAAATGGATCAGAATCTGAAGTTTCCTCCATTTATAATTAGATGAAATTGTTTGATGGTTTGCATGAAACCAGTTTTCTGCAGCACTTCACTGCTGCACGTCAGGTTTTATAACTGAATATGCTGCTAACACTGAATTGTACAGAGCAGCTGATGGAGCCGCAGCCTCACTCTGCTCTCTGTTCATCAGGTAAAGGATGTGGTCTCATGTATTTTCTAAACTGCTCTTGTTAGAGAGTCATTCGAGCGACATCAGTGTCGGTCCCCGTCCACACAACAGACTCACACTCATCCCATCATCAGACACCTCACGTCTTAATTTCCACAGCACTGGGCAGTGTGACACAAAATCAATACAAAGACGTGAATAGCCGCATATTTGTTTTGGGCGACATGAATTGACACTAATCTGTGTAAGATTTTAAAATATTCCAACTCCTGCCACGAGCCGCCAACATTGGCCTTCTGCTTACATCTTTTGGCAGCTGGATTTATATAATACAACTTTTTCTACTTTTTAAGACAGGAAATTCTGAAGATGTGTATCTGTTACTAGATTTCATTCATCGGTTGTTCTTTACTCCAGTTCTGAGATCTTCACACTGGCTTCCTGTTTGTTAAAGAATTTACTTAAATCCTGCCGTTGGTTTAAAAAGCACTGAATGTAAATATATTTCTGACATCATGCTACATTATACACCATCCAAACCCATCAGGTCGTCTGGAACATGTCTGCTTTCTGTCCCAAGGGTCAATATTAAACAGTGTTTAGTTTCTGTGCTCCACATTTGTGGAACAAGCTCCCAGAGAACTGCGCGTCTGCTGCAGCTCTTAGTTCTTTTAAATCATTGCTGAAGACTTTCCAATTTGCCGCTGCCTTTTGTTGAATCAAATAATTACCCTTTCTTACACTGCTCTGTTATTCTCACTCATTTATATCACCTGTTTTATTTTTTCATGGTCTAACTCTTTTCATTTTTTTTTTGTTTCATCTTATGTTGCTTTTACAATTTGTCACGATGCCTTTTATATTTTAAGTTAACCACTTTGAATTGTTGTTTAAATGTCCTATACAAATAAACTTGCCTTGTCTTACTATGAAAACATGATACTACCATTACCTGCCTTCACCTTTGAGTTATTGTGTTCTCCATTTACTCCATTAACACCAGTTGCTGCCCTAACAGAGTTGACAGAGGTTGTCTACTCTGAGCCACTGTCCACTTCCTATTAATCCCTCTGCATCCCGGCTGTGATCGACCAAGAGGGCCGGCTGCAAGGTAGTCCAGAATGAATTGCCGTGAATGGAGCTAAACAGCTAAAATAATAATTTACACCTGCTTCTGGACAAAAGTGCTACATTTGATTTTGGCATCAATTATTTTTCATAATTGGAATGAAAAAAATATACTTCTATGTTCCTTGTCTTTTCTGGAAGGAAGGAAGATTGTTCCCTTTTGTGTGGCAACCTGCTAATGCATTAGGATTGCAGAGCCAGGCTCCAGTTGTTGAGGTATAATACACCTACTCACTAAACTATTACTGACCACACCTCTGTCGTGTCGTCACTGCTCTCTCCTCCCCTCCTCGTCTCTGTCTGACATTTTCTTTTTTGTATAAATACTTTGATACTCCATTTTGTTAGACACTGTCTTTTCTTATGGATGTTGTAAATGTGATTTGTTATTTGTTGATGTGCACTGTTGAATATAACATTTATTGCCACAGGGTGCTTGATGTGAAGTACTTACCTCAAGGATAACTCAAAATCATTGACATTGTCCAAATCTATTCTGATGGAACAATATAAAATCATTCAAATGTTTTTTTAATTCTTACATTTTGCTCTACAGCTACACACGCCCCACAATTCATTCTGGACTACGTCACGATCGCAGCCCCACACAACCCAGACGTTTTGAGAGTGTAAGTTTTGCTCCGACTGTTTCAGTTCTGTTTCTCTCTTCCTTTTCATTACGTTGTGAGTCAAAGTAAATTACACAAATGATGTGTGGCTCAGACTCTGCAGCCCCCCCTCTCCCTCTCCTGCAGCTCTTACCGAGCATCTTACTGACTTTTTTATTGTCTCTACTTTTTGTGATTTGATGGTTTTCAACACTCTAGATCTCTGCTCATTTCTCTGAGTGAAAGTCAGAATGAACACACGCCATATTCCTCATTTGGGTTGATTGGTGTTTTAATTTCATGGCTCCAACATTGTGCTCACATAACTGGTTAAAGTCAAATGCGTTTCTCGTGTTTTCATATCAGAGAGCCGGGGCTGTGATAATAACCACTCTCTTGTAATGCCATCACTGGGATGATGCTGTGATCTGAAGTGGGTCTATTTGCAGAGGCAGTGTGCAAACAGCGTATTCTGCTGTGGAGTTGGAAGTTAGTGGGTTTACTGACACTCATTAGTGGTGGTGTGGCACACTGATAACACTGCACCATTACAGAGTGATTTAATATTTATATAATCTCATTTCTCCTCTCCCCCCCTTGTTAACTTTCTGACATATAATCGACCCAGTGACATCATCCCTCCCTTTAGCCTTGATTCCTTGTCCTCATCATCTCTATGAGTGCAGATTTGTTTTTCTTCTGCACCGTGTCACCTAAAGCTGAGCTGCAACAGCTCTGTGTTTCTGTGGTACGCCTCATTACTCACATATAACTGGTGTTGTTTAACCACAACATTTAAACAGAAGTCATTTTTATCCCTCTGCTGGTTGCTCTGCAGGAGATTGAATATACAACCATGTGTAAAGACTAATTCTCTTTAGTTTTTTTCTCTTCGAGTCAAACCAGAAACAGGAACAATAACTCTCCACTCCGCTACCACTAGCGTGGATTTTCAAAAGCAGGTCATACATATGATATCAAAGCGAAAAATACATGCTTCCATTACATGGTAGAGACCTTCAACAATAATCAAAGACATGATGAATATTCACATGTCCTATATACTGTACAAGTGATTTTAAAGCAGTTATTTGATGTGTTTTGTTGATTGATCTTTAAACAATATAACTAATATCGTACATTGTATAAGAATACATATGCGTGAATGTGGCGATGGTCTATATAATCGTAATACTTTATGTATTTTACATATTCACATAATTTTATGAACATAAGTAGTTTAAAGGCTCCTGACTAATTAGCATTGTGTCATATTCAAAACATCCCATTGTTAATTCTGTTTCCCTTAATTAACTTTCATTTATGATTCATTCTCACACATTGTGTTTTTTTCTTGTCATTGTACCTTCACTCTTCATTCTGCAGTCAATTGACAAGCATGGAAATGCTGCCTCCCATTATACAGCAAATACAATGAAAACTGTCCATAGATAGAAATGAATTAATGTCGAGGCTGCTAAAGGTTGTGTTTCCATTGCATTAAATGCTGCTGTGTGTATTTATATCACTTCATTGTTGGTCTGAAAATTGACTGAATCATCATCTCTGTTATTTCATTGTTCCTCTATTCTAAATCGGTTCTGAGTTAACTAGTTAATCTGTGTTGGGACTATGAACGACTTTCTCCCCAAAGTTATTCCCTGATCTGCTGTGTCGATGAGGACAGTGGTAGCTCCTAAATATCCCATGAGTCCCTGTCACTAGTGAGGACCACACCATCAACGAGAAGCAACATGAGTGGTCAAAGGATTCTTGGGTCTTAGTTTCTATGTAGGGAAGTTTTAGAGTAAGGATATGTTGCAGCAACCTGGCATGATGGGCACCTTCAGGAAGGACCCTATGTAAAGGAGGAAGGAGAGGGAAAAGAAGGCTGGCGGAAAACGAGAATGGAAGAGGGGAGAGGGTTAGGAGGTTGAGGTATGGTCCTGCTCCTGAAACTCTTCTGGATAGCCTCAACTTTTTAGGTGTGTTAATTGATTCCTGCAGGATGGGGGTCAGTTTCATTATTCATTCAAAGATAGGAAAGAAATGGACAGGAATCATAATCACAACAGTTTTTTAATATATACACAGTTGAATAAAACATGACTTTCTTTATTTTTAATACAACTCTTTAATTTTCAATTACCTGCTCTGGTGGCTGGTTTCTGGTTTGCTGCAGGCGGTCACCTGACATTACATAATGTTTGCGATGAAGCCAGCATTGCAAAAACAGGGAAGGGAAGTCACAAGTTTTAAAGAGGAGAAGATGTCAGTGTTAAATCAACATTGACAGAACAGGAGATGTTTTCCCATGAATAGGATGGGAAATTTTATTCTATTTTACCATGGGATTGGGAAGGAGCAGGAGTTACAATCCACACCCTCTAATCACACCACTGCTCAACACAACAAACCACCACTCAATTAATTTTTTTTTTTTGTTTAAGTTGTTGCCCATCTGTGTATAATATCCACTGACCACTTGGCTCAGACGACCCTAGCTTCATTTATCTCCTAGGGTGCTGCGCCGGGTCATCTGTGAACTGGAGTGTATCAGCCAGCTGTTAGAATAACAGTCACATGTCATGTGACTGAACATTTCTCGGAACCTGGTGGACATGATGTTGTAGAGGATGGGGTTGATGGCGGAGCTTAGGTAGAAGCAAACTCCGGAGATGATGTGGACGTGCTCGTACAGCTTGAGGTGCTTCTGGGAAGACATGTCGATGTAACTCCACATCAAGCGGTCCACGTGGAAGGGCGCCCAGCAGAGGCCGAACACGACCACCAAGACACCTTGATCAGGTGGATAAAATCACATAGAGTCACAGAGAACACGCTAAGGGAAGCAGACACGCAATTATACAGACGGCAAGACAAAGCTGAGACACATTGGCATGTACGTTATAAATAATCAAAAGGAAAGAAAAAAACACCTACACAGCATCTTGGTGACTTGCACGTTGCGTTTGCTCAGCTTCTGTTTATTCGACCCAGAGACACTGTCCTTTCCAAAGCTACACATGGTGTCCTCATTGGTCATGATCCTCTCCCTGTGGAGCCTCAAGCCAATGAGCAGGTAGAGAACGCTGATTATCAACATGGGGAGCAGGAAGAAGACCAGCGTAGAAACCAGGATGATCAGGTTGTACATCCAGGTGGGCTTGACCACATCTGAGGATGGAGATGTAACAGTGTGGAGAAGCACAGATCTGAGTCAGCTCATGATCCCAGATGTACTGAGAGCACCATCACCTCATGTCAGTGCAAAACCTTTTAGCACTTTGGCTCTAGAAATGACAACACCCGTCTGTGAGTACATAACACAAGTACATATATAGGTCCCCAAGGGATCCCTCGACATGTTTTTGAAACGATAAAATCTTCCATCTTTATCCAGGGTCGTTGCAAAGGGCAGTAAATAGAGGGGGCCCTAAGAACAGCTGATTACATGAGTCCACATGAGTCCACACACAAATTATATTTAATGATGGAAATTGATGGATGACACGTCTGATCCCCAAAAGTGAAGCCAAAGCATCTTGATTGCATATTCAAATGTTCGTGAATGGGACACGGGCCAAACGAAAAAGTACACGTCAGATAGATTTTATTCCAGTCATTTTAGCTAATTCTAATCCCACTGCTGTATTTCAAAGTGTTTTTTTCAAATAAGTTTGGTTTGAATTGGTTAGTTGATGCTGTAAACATGGGGTGAACCATCATGATTGACAGCTGAGGCTGACTCATGATTGATTGAGCGCATGTATCGGCCTTGCCAGTGTTGACACTGGATCCAAATGTGTAAGATGGCAGTGCTTCTATATATCCAGGATATTTTGCTTCATCTCTGGGAAATGGAAGGAAGTGGAGATATGTCATCCATCTTAAAATTCTGTCTATGGTCTACGACAACAACAATTTTTGTTTCTTTGGTTTGATGGAGGACCACCGGTCCCTTGAAACACTCATTCACTAAAATTACCTGCAAACCAATGACACACCTATCAGCCTCAGGTTTTGTGTTTTGTGCTATTTGTAAAATGTTAGCATGTGGGCTAAACATTTAATATCCCTCCTAACATCCGCATGTTAACATTATCTTTGTGAGAATATTTACATGTCGTCTCACAGTAGTGCTACCATGGCTCCTAAACAAAGGGAAAAATAAAATATATAGATTTATACATACGGCAGATTGCAGATCGTGGAAACTGTCGTCCAAACCATGGAGGCAGCACCGTGATGCCATGCATGCTGGTGTTTGGCACAGCACACACCATGGACAGAACCCACAGCAGGAAGATGACCCTCCTGACGTGAGTGTGCGTGGTCATGTGTTTGACTTTCAGGGGGTGGACCACCGCCATGTAGCGTTCCACACTGAGGGCGGTGACATTGAGGATTGAGGCGAAACAGACGGTTTCAAACAGGAAGGTTTTGAAGTAGCAGCCCCCCTCGCCGAGCAGGAAGGGGTAATTTTGCCACATTTCATAGAGCTCCAAAGGCATACCGAGCAGCAGCACCAGCAGGTCAGAAACTGCCAGGCTCAGCAGGTAGTAGTTGGTGGGCGTCTGCATCACCCTGTAGCGTAAGATGACAGCACAGGTCAAACAGTTGCCCAGGACACCCACCATGAAGATGGTGAGGTAGGTGACGCAGACGGGAGAGAAGATGGGGGACCGGAGAGGCCCCAGGTACCTGGCCAGGTACTCCTCCTCACTCAAACACAGGTCATCTAGATCCTGCTTAGTGGCGCTGACCAGCACCCACGAGATATTCATCCCACACACCACAGCGGCCTCAGGGCAGCCCACGCCACCGAAGACTGGGCCTCCAGATGTGAAAATAGCTTCAAGGGAACAGTTCAGCTCTGGCATGGTAGTTGTTTGATACAAGGTTCTTTGCAGCTCTGAATCTATTGAAAGGAATAAGAATGAGGAAATGAAAGCACCCCACTGGTTTTACAGTTTAAATTATTTGTTTATACTTCTCAACCTGTGAAGACAGTTGTGTAATTTTCTGTTTAAGATTGAAAAAACAACCTTAATGGTGTTGTGTTGATGTTGGACACAAAAGAGAAAAGAATATAAATATTTTCCGATGAAAATGGTGTCACATACGTAGAACACAAAGATGAGGATGCCAACTTGGAATTACAAAGATTCGTAATTCTTTGGTGATGGGGGCAGATGACGGTGTTGATGTGTTGCAAACAATAACACGTTTTCCGCAACAGAATTCATACGTTATGTTATACCTCCTGCATGATCAACCCAGACGCTACTCATTTTCTTGTTGTGAACGCATCTGACTTGGACAATCTCCAGCTGTGATCTTCATATAGAGGCAAACTCCGCAAATTGTCTGGTTCCATTTAGGAGAGCTCAAATGGCTCAAGTGATGTCATCGAGGTTATCAAGGTTTTGGCTTCAACTCAAGGCTTGAGTTACAAACTGGAGGTGATTAGTTTAAATCATCCAGTTTAAAAAGGGACCAGGGGGCCTACATCACACCACACCAAGATTGAAAAAACCTGCCATCCTGGGGGGCCCCTGTTAGCTTGGGGCCCAAGGCAATATTCCGCTTTGCCTGCCCTGATGAAATGTCCCTGTGTGGGAATTTACCACAGGGAGGTTCTAGCCAATAGGATTGTAGGATCCAGCTATTTTGTAAGTAGATATACAAGTTAGCTCAATTTTGACCATTCCTTTCTAAAATCTGTATCTTGAGTCTCTCAGCCGTATGAAAGTGCAACACTAACTTGATGGAATACCATAATGTGATGTTATAGTACAGTAAATAAACTGCTTGTCTTAGAGGAATCTGGAGGATTGTTAAAAATGACTCAGTAGACCCAGCAAATGCTAAATAGGACACTTTTATTGCCCACTGCTACTTCTCTTTACATAAACTCTTAATCAACAATGAAAAGATAGTTAAAAACATTTTTTTCACTGTGCTGTGTATAATTTATTGGGGAGGAAATTTTAATTCTGGAACACCAACACAAACAACTCCCAGAGAGATGATTTGTGTGAGTGATTCTATTTATAATTGACTAGTTCCCATTTATCAAACTGTAGCTGCAACTGAGCTCTCATCCGCACCAACTAGCAGGGAAACTATATTCTCATAAGTAAAGCAACAAGCGGCTGAAAACCAGTTTATGATTGATTAATTAATGGAAAATGTGAAATCACCATAGCACCAAGAAAGAGATTTTTGACACAACTTGCCATGTTCTCTGAGCTGTAGCCTTTTAATTATTCTAACATTAAATATGTTTTGTATGGTCTTTTGTCCTCACACAAAAATTCACTTAAAGGTCCAGTGTGTAAGATTTAGGTGAAAGGGATCTATTGGTAGACATCATGTGAAATAATTCTCATGATGTTTTCACTAGTTCATTTCATCTAAATTGTATGAATTGTAGTTTTCTTTACCCCAGAAAAGGCCCTTTATATTTAAATACTTTATATTTACATCGAGGGGTTCTCTCTATGGAGGCTGCCATGTTTTTTACATTAGTCCAGACTGGAAAAACTAAACACCTTTTGAGTTTTTATGACAACTAAAGGCTACCACAGGTTCTTTTTCATGTTTCGGAGGGGAGGGTGAGGTGAGGGGTGTTCAGCTGCAACATGCAACTTCACCTCTAGGTATCACAAAATTCCACACACTGTACCTTTAAGGACTAACAAGGATTTTTTTTATCCATTCAACATAACAGAGATAATTTAATTTGAGGAAAAATAAAATCACATACCTTCAGCTTGTGGGTTCCTTGAGGTCATCTTCTTCAAAAGAAATGAAGACATGTGAGACGATAATAGAAGATAATCGCCACATCGATCTGCATCCTGAATTTAGCTTTCCTGCTACTTTACCTTCACTGCTTTGCTGCTTCAGTGCGACGCAGCTTCCTAGATGTTCTGTATATGCAGCACTCCTTTTCACCCCACCTCTCGCTCTCTCTCGCTCCTTCTCACTCTCTCTCTTTCTCTCTCTCTCTATCAACAGAGCGTGTATGTAGCCTGACACACACAGACACATACACATATTTGTACTTCCATCTTAGTGAGGACACTCATTGACACACTGATCCAAACTTAATGCCTAACCCTAACCCTAATCTACACCTAGTTCGAATCCTAACCCTAAAACCAAGTCTCAACCCTTAAAAGTGGGTCAGAAAGTGAGGACAGGCAAAAATGTCCTCACAAAGACATCTGTACAGGGACACACACATCTTTTATGTGAACCTATAGAGGCTCAATACCCCCATTCTTTTATTTTCCCCATTGAAAAAACACATCATGTGAAAACTAAGGTTGAGATTGCTTTGACCTGTGGCTTAAGTGTGTGTGGTGTATGTGGGGGTGCACGTAAAAAAAATAAATCAAGTTTTTCTTTCTTTTCTTTTTCTTAATCATGTATCGTTACAAGAATGTGACATAACTTTGAAGAATTCATTGTTTCCAGAGGGTGGAAGTTTTAATGACTTTGATAATTCCCTGAATTTCCTCCTAGAGCCAACACGTCAGAATTCATCCGTTTATTCACTTATCCTGAGAAATATTTCTGTATGTATTAGATGAATGGAGACTACGTGTACTACAGACATTCATGTTTCCAAGAGGACAAATTCCTCTGGGGGTTCATTTTTCCTTTAACACCACATGAGGTTCACATTTGTAGTTTTGAGCAAATTGTCTCTTAGTATTGATAGTTGCCAAAAACATGCATTTATTTTTTTGTAATAGTTAATGAATATGATAAATTTGGTGAATCTTTTAAGCCCTATAATGAACTCTTAATTGTTGTTGAGTTTGGTCTGGCCAGCATGTAAAAAAAAAGACTCACAGTTCTTTGCAGGAAACATAGCAATAAGATATAACTGTAGTATAACAACATTATAATTTGTTTTAGTACCATTGGCACCCTGGCATAGATCATTTCGTCTCACCTCACCAGTGGTCCGACCCCAACACAGGCACTGACAATAGTTTATAGAAATTTCGTCTTCCCCTACAGGGTTGCTGTCAGTCTGAATGACACCTCACTGAACTGACAGGACTGATTAGCAATTTCTTTACTGCAAATACAAAAGAATCAAACCGGCAACCCTATCCCCCTTCTCTATGAAACTGGTAAAATAATTTGATTATTTACCTTGGCAACACTGATGTACTTGTGTTACTTAATATTATTTTTATTTTTCAGACACCACTATAGTTGCAGGCTGAAACAAACTGCACTGCGTGATGGGCACAGTTCCATTAAGTATAATTTCATCACATCTGCAGCTCCTCATTTTCCGAGAATGAGAGTCTGGGTAAAAATATCTCTGTGTGTTTCTGTGAGCAGATGATTTGATTTGTAATGACAGATGTAATTCAGTATCTCGTCCCCCTGAATCAAACATACAGCATATGAGTCACTGAGTGTGCTATCATGCTTGAACGTTAGGGAGTAGATTAGGCAAAGTGAAAGCCTAATTAATGACACTGATATTTTTTAAGGATATTTGTGAATGTGGGCTGAGCAGGGGAGAGCTGCGGAAATATTTGATTTGCTGAGGATTGCTCTGCTGATAGATCAGCCCAGTGAGAAACAGCCTACGCAGAGCGGGAACGTGCAACTCTGTGCGCATAAATCATCAACAGAGCTTCAATCAGAGGGCAGAAAATTAAAAGGTTCATCGCCTGCACACGTCAGAATGACTGCACCTCGTACCCCCACCTCTCCACATATCCCTGCCTCCCCCCATATAGGTTACTAACTCGATCACAGTACAGGGGGGCTCCAACACGTCCTCTGCAGCTAACATGTTCTCACTGGTGCTTCCATTCAGCTATGCATTAATGGTGCCTCTGTGTCAGAGAATGATCGTAATGGTCTGCCGGGTCAGCACTGACTGTTTTAAATGTGGGCTCACTGTGAGAGGGTGATTATTCCTTTTCCTGACAGGTTTCTGCTGAATGATGTCCAGTTTTGTGTGACCAGACATGCAAACATCACTCTGTGCTTTGTTCAAACTGTGTTTCCAGACATGAACTGAGTCAGACATGTTCACAAGAACAGGAACATTTCTGAAACATCCGTGTGAGGGCTAACGTCACATACGTATACATACATACATGCAGGAGGCAGGATGTGACCTATAGACTCTTCTGCAGGAATCACGTTTCTGTTTGCATCATATTGCCACCGGCATCGACCATGTTGCCAAAAGCTCTTGAATCTCGTTCCAAGCTGAAAGCTTCACCTGCGTCTTCTCTGGCTGTTTCATCCTGAGTTATTTGTATTCTTCCAGTTTCATCTCGATCGCATGTTAGAAATGTCATCAACACACCCACTTGCCCGCTATGAATTTTTCCGCACATTTTCCTGCTGGGATTACTCTTGTCACGTTGGGTGGTGTGTGGCTAGCAATGATGCCTCACTGCAATAAGGTTCTTGGTTTGAATCCCAGTTTGGGGTCTTGCTGTGTGGAGTTTGCATCTTGTGCTGGTTTTCTCCTGGTACTCTGGCGTCCTCCCGCAGTCCAAAGACATTTGGGTTTAGGTTCATATGAGACTCTAAACTGATCGAATGTGTGACTGTGAATGGTTGTTTATCTTTGTATGTGGGCCCTGTGACTAGCTGGTGATCTGTCCAGGATGTCCTCCACTTTAGGCCCCCTGTGATCCTCAAAGGATAACTGGTATAGATAATAAATGAATTTATTCTCCGATGGGAGCCACTGCCTCTGACGTTCACGTTCTCACACACAGCCCCTCTGGAAAATTTCAGGAAAATATCAAGACTTCAGTGCATGCCTGAAAGCAGCTGTATCACAACAGAGTTCTTTCTTGCCTTTGGTGGCATCGATTCCAGTTTATTTGTTCTTCCGCTGGTCTGTAATTGTGTCACCACAGACCTCACAGTCAACAGTTTTCATTGGAACTGGTTTTATTGGAGCAGGAGTCATTTTTCAAGGCTGCGAGCTCTGCAAACACAATTACATTAGTCTCCCCAGTACTGGACGACGGCCAAAGGAGTCAGGGTCAAATGAAACCAAGACTGGTCGCATAGATGGAGCATTATTGATGGAGAAAGAACCAGATAAAAAACTACCCAGTACAAAATTAGATTAGATTATTATGACCTTTTTCTTCAAATCATGTTTTCATTAGATTAAAAGTCATTCTTGTCTTGTTGTTGTGAATTGCTGGTGATGATTACCCCAGTACCACAAAGAGACCATAAATACTGAAGCCAAGTGAAACAACTCATGCTTATTGAGATTTTGATGAATTTAAACCAGATTAATCTAAATGCTCAAAATTAGGTCCGTTCATTTTGAAATGATCATCATCGGTCAATAAAACTATTTTTTCTGCCTTGAGAACATGTTATCTAAATTATGTCTCAAGAGAATTCTTTCAAACTTTTCACTTAGACTCTCAGAATAACTGTTTTGATTTGGATTGCCAAACTTCAAAGGTCACAGTCATGGTGGCCTCAACAACATGTGTTTGGCCTCCTCAATATAATATCTCAAGTCTGCCTTTTAGCAATTTCTTCAAAGTTTGACCAGTTGTCAATTGATCTCAAAGATAAACTGAATCGAATTCTAGTGGTCGAAGGTCAAATGAGTCTGATGTAAAATGTCAGTAGAATGAAAATGCACTTGTTGGTGGAGACATACAACGACAGGGTGATAATTCTACTTTACTATGCAACATCTACAGTGATTTACTGACAAGAAGTTGTGGATGTTGTGACGTGTAATTAAACAATATCATTAATTATTCCTGGATCACACTGAGACGAGTGGTTCCTTAGCTGCTGGGGGGACAGCGGAGAAGAATCATTATACAACCAGAAAATGTTAAAACAGCTACAGGCTATACAGACTGTGTCATATTGATTTTAGCATGGATGCGAATATAGCATGAATGCAGAGACAATATATATATATATATATATATATAATTTGACTGCACCAAACAAATTAGTTGATATATTTGTTTGGTACAATCAAAGTACCTATGGTTACATTGGATGTGCTTAAGGTACCTGTAATTGGATTTATAGGCAGACATCCTCAGCAGCATAGACTGTATTTAAAGTGGAACGACACGTCTCTACTTCCTCCCACTATCCAGAAATTAAGCAAATATATCCTAGATATGTGCACTATTCATGCATTTGTCAGAAGTAAATCAGACAACAGAGAGTTGCCAGGAAATGAGGACTGAGAATGATTTGCAGCAAAGGTCACCAATTAGATTACAAGCATGGACGTCTGGATGCTGCAGATCAGAAATGGAACCCGATAATGAACAAAACAGGGCTGAAAAAGCATTGTTACGGCAAAAATACTATTACGTGCATGTGATGTAAATCCTTAATATAAAGCGAGAATTTATTCTTGTCCTCATATTAGATTCTGTCTCACAACTTCCACCACCTTGTTCTGTGTGTGTGAGTAATAGCAAACAGAGTGGAATAAAGCAGATTTGTGATTCCAGGAATTTTGTGGACCTGCAGGGGACAGCCGCTGCGTGATGTAAAGTTACGTGTTTCACATAACAATGTAATATGACTGTGGTTTCCCAGGTTTCTGCTCCTGTGTAAATTTACAATCCTGTTTATCACTGCGACAGTATCATATGTGGGGTTTTAGGGTTGTGGAGGAGCCCCCGGTGGATCACACTGATATTTCTTCCATGAATGCATTGTTTTGTTGACTGTATCATATGCTAATGGGTGCTAGGAGCTTTATTTGAACTGCTTTTCTCAGTCTTCACTTGTGTCTGTGGAGGCTGCATGAAGGAATCAAATTTGGAATCTGTGTATGTTTGCGTCTGCTCTCAGTTATAATTGAATAGAAACTTGCATCCTCGTGTCTTAAATGAGTCTTAAACCTG